CCCTTAAATGTGATATATTTATGTATGTATTTCTTTATTTCAACAGCAGCTCGCTTACTTATGTCTGTATTTACATTAGAGTGGCCCAAAAACAGTAAAGTCGGAATTTTAATGCCGCAACCTATATCGAAAAAATATGCACCCAATTTGTTTGTTTTGAAATCAGAAAATTTGTAAGGAGTGCTCAACGCGCTCAAAGTTTTCCATGTATTTTATGTAGGGAAAAACAACTTTTCGTAGAAATGGTATAAAATTGTTGAAAATCAATATTTTTCGATCGGAAAAGCCAGTTTTTTATTTAACCATTCTTTTTATACATTTTTTTTCATTGCCTCCCCCCCCCATTGCATTTTCTAGGGGTTTCGGCGGACCTATAAAACATAGTTAACATGAAAAAATTGTTAAAGAAACAATCGGGTATTAACATGGAAAAATATTGATTTTCAAGAATTCTACACTATTTCTACGAAAAGTTGTTTTCCCCCATATAAAATACATGGAAAACTTTATGCAATTTTCCTTAATTTCAAAATAAAAGGGATTAATTTCTTTTGGCATAGAACTATTATAGAGCGTGGCGGCATTAAAATTCCTACTTTACTTTTTCACATGCATTTTTGGACCACTCTAATGTACATATATATTTACATGGAAAAATGTATAATTAAAACCATTACCTAACCGGCCATTGATTTACATGAGTATTTGGTAGTTTCTATATTTTTAAATACTAATTTGAAACATTTAAATTAAAAACAAAGCGATTCTAAAAAAAAAATGACCTAAAATGAAAATTTTGTTCAAGCAATTGCTGAGGCGGAAAGTGCACCCGACACACGAAGTTGCTCGTTGCAAAAACATTCTCATATTGGGAAAACTGTAAATAGGATTGTTTGAAAAGAGAATCTTATGCGTATGGTACAGCCCGATTTTCAGGACTGCTAGAGTTCCCCTTCATTAAGGACTAGGAATTTGAAATTTCAGCGTTTTTGGCTTCAAAAGTTATTGCGGTTGGCATACTCTCTAGTGTCAAACCCATTAAGTAATTGGAAAAATTTTGATCCTTTTGAAGAAACAAATTTTCGATTTCTTCGTCGTCTTGAATTTTATGCGAAAGGTATAAGGAATTTTTTGCTACTGATTTTAAATGACTTCAAAGACTCGAAAATGTAACAGGTCTGCAAAATAAAGAGAAGAATGTAAGAAATGTTGCCTTTACTAACCGGGCGGATAAATTACTACATACTTACTTTAAAAAACGAGCTATAAATAATTTCGTGCAAATAACCTTTTTATGCCGAAATTATGGAAAGGCCAAACTAAAAATACGCTACTTTTGTAAAAGGTATTTCATTTTTGGCAATGTCACATAAGCAAAGAAACAACAAAAGCAGCTGTTAGCCAAAACATATCTGAACCCTGATTCAATAGGAAACCAAAAAATTGTGTTGGCAATATTTAATTTAAAGTTGGGTACAAATTTTTAAAAGCTACATCCGTTAAGGATCAATATGTCAATTTCAGAAATTAATTCGTGCGGTAAGTTAAAGGTAAATGTAAGCTTACATATAAATAAAATCTCAATTACAGCTATTTCGTTAATTACCCCATTTAAGGCCATTTTCTCAACTAACTTATAACTTTGTAAATTTAAAACTTATAGTGGTGTCCGAAGTAAAGCATTTTATTATCGGTGTTTATTATTATTAGATAATAAAGCGGCAATAAAGTATATTTTCGATTAGCGAAAGATATTCAGTCAAGTAACAGCGCGATTTGAATTGGCATTAGATTTATTTATACAATATACAAACATTAGATGGCTTATTTTCTCCAGATATTTTGCTTAAGTATTTTAGGTCTTCCCTTCGGCAGCGGAATATGAAAATAGGATGCTAAAAACCGAACAAAATGGAAAAGTTAGTGTTGCAAAAAATAAATGATCTTCTCCGAAATTTTCGATTTAAAAGATTATTTGACGATGGCTTTAGATGGCCTCTGTGGCGTAGTGGTAAGCAGTTCGCGCTTCCACTCCGCAGCACCTGGGTTCAAACCATGGTTAAAGCAACATCGCAAAAGAATATAGAAAAAAGGTTTTTTCTTCCGAGTGTATTTCTGCCACGAAAAACAGCTTCGCATAAAAATACAATCGCCGTTCGAAATCGGCGTGAAACTGTAGGTCCCTCCTCTTTGTGTGACAACATCCAGGCGCTCGCCACAAATCGGAGGACAAGCTCGGCCAAACACTATCATATGTATAAGTGCCAATCTATTATTATATTATTATTATTATTATTAGATCCTTAAATGGAAAATATTTATCTTGCACAAGAAAAAAAAGGGATGATATCCTACCTTATATACTATAAGCCGCTAAAGCCAATGGCGTAGTCAGTATTTAAATGCTGGATTTTCGAGATAATAATCATTTTTCCAAAATTGTCATACTTAAAATTGTAGCTAATTTAATGTGGTTGGTAAATACTTTCTGGTGCGCCTCTACTACTTACATACATTTTCATGAAACTTTGTTAAAAGCCTTATTGCCT